AAAAAAAATTAGGAAATCTAAATAAGTTATGGGCTTTAGTAATAATGTGTCAATATTGATTCATTAATTGTAAATAATTTTCTTTCCTAATGTATGCTTTTAGAATAATAAGGAAAACCAGCTGCAGATTATATGTAACTCGGTACTATCTTCACTGTTTCTCTGTAAATATAAAACTGTTTTCAAAACCAGACCTTTTTAAAGTGAGGGAAAGTTTATAATTTTCTTATTGGGAATTCTGTACCTTTTACTCATGACCTTTCTTCTCAAGAAAGTTCAAAAAGTGTCAGCTAATGGTCATTTTTATCTTATTTAAATGATAATGGGTTATCATTTCCAAGAATATTTGCACTTTACAACTTTCTTCTAATCATCAATTTAAGGTTTTACTCCTCTGAAAGTATTTTTATTATATTTTACCTGCCATGCAATAATGACGAGACAGCCAAAGACAAAAACTAAACTCACTGCCAATCTGTTTCAACTCATAATGCCCTCCACTGAGTTTGTGAGGCAGTAAATCTTTACGGAAGTGTTGTTGTTGTTGTTGTTATATGCCATCGAGTTGGACCCAACTCATAGCGACTCCTCCTTGGGTTTCCGAGGCAGTATCACTATGGAAGTAGATTGCCCCATCTTCCTTACAAGGAGTGGCTGGTAGGTTTGAACCGCCAGCCTTCTGGTTACCAGTCAAGTGCCTTTGGAATACGCTACCAAAGCTCCTGATTGCCCCATATTCCTTCTGTGGAGTGGCTTGTGGGTTTGAACCACTAGGCTTCTGGTTATCAGTCAAATGCCTTAGGCACTAGGTCACTAGAGCCCCTAAATAATCACTTATCTCATTCTAAAAATTTGTCACAATTTAATCTCATATTCCATCTTATCCTGTGTTATCCTTTTTTACTATTTTCTTACACCTTGTTCATGATATCAATGTTCTACAGTAAAATGATTTCTCTCTCTCTCTCTCTCTCTCTTTCTCTCTCTCTCTCTTTTTTGCCATTTGCAGATAGTGTTTATTCTTTGGAAGACGATATGATTGGAAAGAATTTGTTTGCAATGGGTACTACAGGCTTTGCTTTTCTGCTTTTGATTTTTTCTGGGGATACTAGATGGTGGTGGAAACTAAAAAAAAATTTCATTCAATACGTATACTTTGCCATCTACAAGAAATTCAATAAGGTGAGTAATTGAGCATGAACTTTAAGGACAATTGTAAGATAATTGAATATTAATCCTGAAAAATATGTATCTCCATGTCACTATCTCTGTTACTGGATAAAAGAAAAATCAAGAATCTATAGGAATGAATTTTCTTAAATAAATTTTATTGAAGTACAATTTACCTATAATAAACTGCATTCATTTTGTTGATCATTTCAAAGAACCAAATTTTGACTTTACTAATTTTCTCTAGTACTGACCACTTTCTCTTTGATTGATTTCTGGTCTTATTTTTATCTTCTTCCTTCTACTTACTTTTTCTTTACCTTTCTCCTTTCTTCTAGTTTTTTAATGGGAAGACTTAAGCCATTGCTTTCAGATTTTTCTTCTTTTTTAATATAAGCATATAAGCTTA